AAAAAAAAAAGATTAAGAAATTTTTAAGTTTTTAATTCCAATATTCAAAAATCTTTTACCTCCTTGGCTTTAAGTTTCAGGTTTGCTGTGCCCAAGCAGGTTTTCCAGATTCCCTCTGCTATTTCCGTGGGGAGGGAGAGTGAGAGAAAAAACTTTCCCTTTAACTTTTCTTCCGCCGCTTTTACAGCCTTCTTTGGGAAACAATGGATCCTTCAAGCAGTTTAATTTCCAAGGTATTTAAGAGTTCCTTGTTGTCCTGGTTCAGCCAAAAAAAAAAAAACCCCTTTCCCTTTCTCCAGCTTCCTCCTGCACAAATCTTACCCGGCTGCAGGCTTCTTTGTGGCGGCCATTGCTGACCGCTGCTCCACCGTCTTGGGAAAAAGGAGTTTTGCCGGCTGGGGAGGGGGTTTGCGATACCCCCAAATCCCTGTCTGGATCTCCTCTCTCTTCGGTTGCCTCTATGGGGCAACCATATCCTCCAGAACCAACTGGATCGGAGGAACTTCAGCAGCGAGCGCAGCAGGAACCACGCATGATTGCGGATTCCTGCTGCTGCCGAAGCCTTGCAAAACCGGAAGCCCCCAAATGGCTTTTTGAGTGTTTAAGGTTGCAGACCCGTGGGTTAGGCGATGATTAAAATGGCATGTCTATGGAGAACTTCAACCATCCAGGTCAGGGTTGTCCCAAAAGTGCTTTTGTTTTTCAAAAGGCAATTGGATTTCCTTTGTTCCTTGAAGAGGTTTCACTTCTCATCCTAGAAGTTTCTTCTGTTCTGAGTGAATGGTGAAGGATGGAAGGATTTATTCAGATAGTCCCCATTCAAAGTTACACCGGCACTGAAAAAAGTGACTTAGGAATGCTTTTCATACTTATCACCATTGTCCCCAGGTTCACATGATAAAAATTCAGAAGCTTGGCAAATTGACTCGTATTTATGACAGTTGCAGTGTCCCAGTGTCATGGGATCACCTCATGCAAACTTCGAACAAGCAGAGTCAATGACAAAGCCAGATTCACTTAACCACAATACTAAAGTAACAACTGCAGGGATTCACTTAACAACTGTGACAAGAAAGGTTACAAAATGGGGGCAAAACTTGCTTAACCAACATCTCACTTTAGCAACAAAAATTTTGGGCTTAATTGTGGTCGTACATCAAGGACTACCTGCATTCCTTGCAGTCCTCTGGTTGTTTGTATTCTCTCTGAGAGCCGTTGAGGTGACTTGGGGGTTTATCTGTGCCCTCAGGGTCCCCTGAATAGTGCAAATGGGTGTGGAACCTTCTTGGAAGTGCTATTCAGGGGACCCTGAGGGCTCAGATAAACCTCTATGGCCTCAATGGCTCTCAGAGAGAGTACTAATGACCAGATGACTGCATAAGAATATAAATCCTTCCATCCTCCGCCATTCAGTCAGAACTGAAGAAAAGTTCTCAGATGAGAACTGAAACCTCTTCAAGGAAAAGCAAAGAAAGACCAGCTGCTTTTTGAAGAAGCAGCTTTGGGATGTGTTGCAGTTCCAACCAGTTGTAAATGGAGAGGGAATGAAGAGGGTATGTTTAGATCCTCAGAGGTGGAGACCATGCATGGATTGAGGGCAGGAAGTACAGGAAGAGCTGGCCTTCATCCAAAAATTAGATAATGCTCATTTACAGGTCTGGAGATTAAACCATATGCAGAATGGCTGCAGGATTTGGGTCTGGCTAGTATAAAGAAAAGAAGAATTAAGTGACACCAGAGGGACAGAGGGAATTAGTGACACCAGAGGTGGTATTCAGCAGGTTCTGACCTGTTCTGGAGAACCAATAGCGGAAATTTTGAGTAGTTTGGACAACCGACAAATACCACCTCTGACTGGAGATTTTACAGTATCCTTCCCCTGCCATGCCCACCAAGCCATGCCCACAGAACCGGTAGTAAAAAAAAATTGAATCCCACCACTGGGTGACGATAGCAGTATTCCAGTATTTGAGGGGCTGCCCCAAAGAAGAGTGGGTCAAATTATTCTGCAAAGCACCTGAAGGCAGGACAAGAAGCAATGGGTGGAAACTAATGAAGGAGAGAAGCAACCTGGTATTAAGGAGAAACTTCCTAACAGTGAAGACAAATAACCAGTGGAACATCTTGCCACCAGAAATCTTGGATGCTCCAACAGTGGAGGTTTATAAGAAGAATCTAGACAGTCACTTATCTGAAATTGTAGAGGGTCTCCTGCTTGAGCACAGGGGATTGGACTAGAAGACCTTCAAGGTCTCTTCCAGCTCTATTCTGTTCTGTTCTATTCTATTCCCAGTACTCACCTTACGACCACAATGGTAGAAGAGCATTTCTGTTGCTAAGCAAGGCATTGGTTAAGAGAGTTGTGCCCAATTTTAACAACTGTTTTTCTCATGGTTGTTAAGCAAATTGCTGCAGTTGTTAAGTGAGTCACATGGTCATTAAGACAATCTGGCTTCCCCCATTAGCTTTGCTGGTCAGACACTGGCCAAGATAGTCGTAAATGGTCATCCCCATGATGCTTGATGTCGTAAATACAGTTAGTCCTCGACTTATGACAGAATTTGAGTTGCTAAGAATTGAGTTGACAATTGAGTTGAGCCCAGAATTTATGTTGCTAAGTGAGAAGTTTTATTTCTGGACCCATTATACGATGCTTCTTGCCATGCTTGTTAAGCAAATCATGACAGTTAATTTAATAACACAGTTGTTAAGTGAATTTGGCTTCCCCATTGCCTTTGCTGGTCAGAAGGTTGCAAAAGGGGGTCACGTGATTCTTGCACCCTGCAACCGTCATAAATGTGAGTCAATTGTCAAGCATCCGAATGTAAATCATGTGACCATGGGGATGCTGCATAGGTCATAAGTCTGAAAAAAGGTCATAAGTCACTTTTCAGTGCTGTTGAACTTTGTAAGTCAAGGAGTACCTGTACATGTCAATTGTCAAGTGCCCCAATTTTGATTACAGGAAGCTGCAATGGTCATAAGTCTGAGGATCGGTCATAAACCTCTTTCTTCTGTTTGGTTGCAACTTGGAACATTCACTAAGCGAATGGTTGTGAATCGAGGACTACATGTATAAAGGGATGGCAGAAACTACCCCTGTTTCCCCAAATATAAGACTGGGTCTTATTTTCTTTTGGGCCCCAAATTAAACACTAGGGCTTATTTTCAGGGGTGTCTTGTTTTTTCCCCTGCACGTAACAGAGGCCCACTTTTTCTGCTTGTTCCTGGCGGGGCAGGAGGCCATGCAGTGCACCAGTGCTGCTGGCACGAGGCAGGGTAGGTGGAACTGGCTCATGTACCCAGCATTGGCTTACCTCAGGGCCCCTGTAGCCAGGCCATCCATGCCCCGACACCTGCCATGGTACCAACACACCGCTTGACCTCCTTCTCCATTGCGGCTGCAAGCAAGCAGAAGAAGTGAGCCAGCAGCCATGTGGGCTCCTGCTCCACATGGTTCCAATGCTGCCACCACAAGGCAGGTCTCGGGGTGTGAGGGGCCTGGCTGTGGGGGCCCTGAGGTAAGCTGGTGTGGGCTGTGTGGGGCAGCTCCATCACCACCCTGCCTCACATCGTGGCCGCGGCACCGCAAGAAACCAGACAGTATGGGCAGCAGGGTGGCTGTACAGGCTCTTAAATAGGGCTTATTTTGTGGGTAGGGCATATATTAGGTGCACGTGTAAAAACATGCTTGGTTTTATTTTCAGGATAGGTCTTATTT